GCATCTGCACAATGTGACAGTATGTTTCTGTGCTCTGCCCGCTCCTCCCCAGTGGCAGCACGGGGCTTGGTTCAGGGTGTGCGTGAATTCCACCAGCGAGTCCTACATGTCCCTGCCCATGGCTAAGATCTCCGGCAGAGGACGCACTGGGGAAGGCTTTGTTGAAGGAAGGAGTGAATGCCAGCTCCATCTGTAGACCAAGGCCATGCAGAGTCGCTAGTGGACTCCGTGCGACAGCAGAAAGGCTCACTGACTGAAAAGGATTGAGCTGCTGTTTTCAGAATGTTCACAAGACCCACACTCAGCAGCCAGCTCCCTGAAGGCAGTTAGGTAAAGAGAAGCAGACGAGGAACTAGAGTCCAAAATGTGCCACCAGCAGGGCCTTGAGGACAGGGCTGCTGGAATGCAGAGGGTGCGAGATAAGGGAAGGATGAACACAGTGGGGGAGTCTCGTTTTCTTTGCAGTACCGGGATTGAATGTAGCTGTTTATTGCTGATCAACATCCCCACTCCTTTTTAAAGTTTTCACTGGGAAACAGGGTCCCTGCATCCGCCTAAGTTGCCCAGGCCTGGCATTCTCCTTCCTCAGTCTCCCAGGGAGCATTGCTTATGGATGTGCACCGCCACACCTGGCTTTGTTTTTTGAAGGAAGTTCTCACTGAGTTCCCCTTGGGCTTGAACCCCTGGCATCAAATAACCCCACCCCCAGAGCATCCTGAGTGGCTGGGAATACAAGTGTGCACCACCAGAGCCATGGAGGTTTGGATGTTTGGAAGATGTGGAATTTTTACTCAGGTTCAAAGTATGAAGACGTGGACAGGAAACAGGAAATGAAGACAGACAGAAGGGTATTTATAGGAGCAGTGAAAGAAAGGAAGGAAATACAAGAGGATGAGGTGGCTTGGGTGTAGAGAGATTGTAGAGCGGGTGAGTTCCAGGGGACACCTCCAGCCTTGGTTAGGGAGAAGTACTTGGTGATGCAGTAGCTAAAGGCAAGTGAGCTGTGGGCTGGTCTTCGAAGGCTGCTCAGGCAGCACAGAGCCGCTCCCTGTCTGCCTGGCTTGTGGAGAGAGACCAGCACAGCCCACGTTACGCTCAGTGCGGGCCTGTAAGGAGGGGACGCATGGGGCATGGGTCTTGGGAACCCAGAGCAGGGGACAAAACAACATATGGTATCACAAAGGAAAGAGACCCTGGAAGGTTCAGAAATGGCTGCCCTCGGGCCTGAGGGCCAAGGCGCAAGTGTGGTTTCTTCCTGCCTCTGCCGTCTGGGGCTCTGTTTCCCCTGGTGGCTTCCATTAACTAACATGAGCGTAGACTGCAAGGTTTCCTCAGAGAAGTCGGGCGCACTGTAGCGTGATGCCCCTGTCCTACAGAGTCAGCAGGACAGAAAGGTTTAAACCCAGAGGCCAGGCTAGAGTCCCCTCCCCACCCTCAGGGGTGGACCGTGGCTGTGGGGGAGGCCCAGTACTCACAGCGCCAGGAAGAAGTGGATCCTCTGGTACTGCCAGGGCAGGAGGCCGGCCCGGCTGAAGTAGGCGATGACCATGGCCAGGAGATACTGCGGGGGGAGAGAGGACGGTCAGCAGGCACAGCTGGAGGAGGACGGGTGTGGGGACGTGGACTGGGAGGGGGCGGCAGGGCCCCAGTCAGAGAAGACACCCCAGTGTCGGGCATCCTGGTCATTGGGGGAAAGTCAGGGATCTATGGTTATTTACAAATGAGCGCAGTGAGAAGGGAGGCCATGATGCCCAGATATCACCTCCAAGAGTCTTTTGGGGACAGGGCACTGAAGGCACTTGCATCAGAAGGGGGTTTTTTTAAGTGAGAGAAAATGGGTTCCCTGAAAGCTGAGGAGGGACCAGGAGCTCCATGCAGTCCCAGCTAGACAGAGAAGCCATAACCAGGAACACGGTGCCCTGGGCTCAGCTCACAGAGGACCCAGGCAGAGCGGGGTGTTGCGCCCACCCAGCCTCCAGGCCCAGGCAGGCCCGGAAGGGAGATGGTGCTGTGTCCTAAGGGGGCCCAGGGTGGAGGCAAAGGTGGAAGCTCCCAGAAGGGATTGTGGGGCCGGGGCCTTGTCCTCCCTGGGCTGTGCCACAAAGAGCCCAGCTCAGGGAAAAAGACCTTACCTTGTCAGAGGCCCTCAGGCCTCCATCCCAGGCCAGGAATATCTTGATGACTGGATCCTCTGTGAAGAGAACACAGTGTTAGACTGTGACCCGGCAAAGGAGTCCGGGGTGTGGGAAAACAGGTCCCACAGCTGCCTGCGAAAAGGTCCTGGATGAGGCCAGGGTCATGCAGATGGGAAGGGGAGGAACAACACTGAATGACCAGGGGCAGGGATCATCCTGAGAATCTGAGAGGAGCAAACGGGTGAGGGCCCGGGTAGCAGCAACCATCTGCCACATTAGGACCTCAGGAGAAGGCCAAGGTGGCCTCTCATGACACGTGAAGGCACCGCTTCCGAAGTCAGGGGCATCCTGAGCATGTGCTCTTGTGATGGTCGCAGCTGTATGACAAGGACCTCATTCCCCTCCACTGCTATGACCACTTCCCTTCAGGAAAGTGAGCAGAGCCGGGCGTGGTGGCCCATGCCTGTAATTCCAGCACTTGGGAGGCTGAGGCAGGAGTATTGTTGCAAGTTCGAGGCCAGCCTGGGCTACAAAGTGAGCACAAGGCCAGCCTGAACTGCATAGCGAGACCTTGTCTCAAAAACACCAAAAAAAAAAAAAAAAAAAGGAAAGTGAGCAGTTCCTCTCTATCAGGTGGGCTGGTTTGAACCATGCTTTGTGATCAAGTGGGAATGTGTTTTGAGGACTGCGTCATCCCCTCCAGAGTGGGGAAGGAGGACACTGGAGTCCTCCCAGAGTGGCCCACTCAGGGCTCTGTGTGCTCTTCCCATGGGTGAAGGAAGGGACTGGAAGGGGCTTGCATTCCTCAGAAAGGGGTGGGGGGCGGTGTGCGGGGTCTCCTTACCCAGCAGCCTGGTGAAGGCCGCGTGGTGCTCGGGCAGCACTGAGGACGGGCGCTTCCTCTGCATGGTCCCCTTCAGGCCACAAGGCTTCTCTCTGACACCCATGTGGGTAAAAGGCCCAGGTCGTGGACATCGCAATGGTTCTCTCTGCTCCTCTTCCATCAGGGACAGATACTCCCTCCACCTCTTGCGAGGTGGGAGCCTGATGTATTCCTGGGGGGCTACCTCAGAGCACTGGGGGCCTCCCCTCCTGTCCTCAGGGGCCTCTGAAGAGCTCTCCCTCTTCCACTTGTGGCCAGAGGACCGAGGTGAGAGGCTGGGGTTTCCCATCAGGGCTGAGGCAGAGGCCCCCTGGGGACCCTCCTGCTGCTCCAGCTCTGATTCTGATTCTGATTCTGATTCTGAAGAGGAGCCATCTTCCTGTTCATCCTGGACAGGCGACTGAGGCCCGAAGTAGGGTGCCAGCCTAGGGGCGCCACTGGAGAGACCCCCCAGGTCCTCCTGCAGCTGCTCCCCAGACTCTGAGGAGCAATCTCTCTTCATTTTGTGAAGACAGGTCCAAGACTGGAGGCTCAGTGATCCAAACAGACCTGAGGAAAGAAACCCAGGTTCACCGTGAAGCATGCGCCTTTGGGATTCAGCCTTTGACCGTGTGTTTTGGCTTGGATCTAGATGTCCCCCACAGCCTCATGTGGTCATAGTGGGGAGATTTGAAGGTGACTGGATTTGGGTGTGTGAATGTTGAGAAGGTGTGAGGTTGGGATGATGGGTGTTCCACCCCGGGCATGGGCGGCACCAACCTATAGGTTTGTAGACTGGATGGAATATAAAGGGACAGGAAGAGGGCAGACCTGCTGTTGCAGCTGCTGCTGCTTGTCTGGTGCTGCTCCCTGCCTGCTGTGCGATGCCCCTCTGCCATACTACCTTTCCTGGGAGTCAGCCGATGAGCGGAAGGAAATCTTTCTTTAACTTTGGTTATCCAGTGTTTGTCTCAGCAACCATCTCACCCCAACTCCCTCCTGGAAAATAAACCCCAACCTTCTTCCGTGGTTGTTCCCTCCAAGGCCTGCTGATCTCCATCTGCCCCAGTTCTCCTTGCCACTGTCTCTTTACCCTGCCTACAAATTCTTCCTCATGCAGACACTTTCCCTCATTGGGGAGAGACGCTGCTGCGCCACCTCTTCCCCTGTTCATTCTTAGATCTCATCTTTTGACCCCTTTCTGGCTCTGCAGCTTTTCTATGCATTGTCCTTCCTCTTAGCTTCTTTTCTCATTGCTGAGACAGAATACCCGACAGTTCATGGCAGGCAGAAGGCAGCAAAGCAGTGAAGTAGCAAGCAGCAAGCACCCGGCACCAGCCTCTTTCTTTGCATTCTATTTTATCCCTGCTGAGGCACCCTGGATTCTACCCAGAACTATGCCAAACACCAGTCTGTGGAGCAATTTATAATCACACACCCGTGATCTCAGAATCACACACTCTACATCCAGCCACTCCTGGAAAGCCCCACCTATGACTGCATGAGGTTTTGGGTAGACATCTAGACAGGAGCCGTAACAGTCCTCCTTGTCCTGTTTCCTGTCTCATCTGTCTCCTATCCTGGCCTTCATGAGGCCCTCCTTCCTTGTCATACTTCCCATTCACTGGTCACCTTCTGTGACCTCTTCTGTCTCCAGCCCCCTCGCATGATTGTCCCGGGACCTCATCATCCACCACCACCACCTCAAGGCATATCCAAGAGAGACAGGTTGGGAACTCTGGTCCTCACACTGGAGGATGGTTGACCAGTGCTCATGAGTTCTGCCAAACACCACCTTCCCCTCCACAAAACACAGACTAATCTGCCCACACCCTGCTTCTACAATTCAGCTGAACCTAAGCCACTGCCTCTTCTCCAGGGAGGACACAAGTGGAGACCATCTCTGAGAATTGGCGGCCCGCACTCTCCCGCCCCATGCTGCCAATCCCCATGGGCTTTGAACCTCCTCATCAGGGAGGTCTGAAGCCTCTGAGGTGATCGTGTACTCCATCTCCGTAGCCAGTTTGATGGAAAACACACCTGACTACCAGACTGGACATCTGGGGTCTGGGCCATCTCCTGCCACAGGCTCCAACTATGTCTGCCATCCTAGTGTCCCCTCAGGACCTGCAGCTTGCTGTCTCTCCTCCCCTCAGCAGATACCACGTGGTGTCCACTGTCAACTCTAAACACATGCGGTCCTCCTGCCCTCTGTGCTTTCCCCCATCAGAGCATAGGCTGGTGGGAGAGGCAGCAGAGTGGGCAGGGTATTTAGGGAGAGCAGAAACAATAGGACTCCATCAGCAGGGCCTGAGTACTGACAAAAATGCCCGCGGCACTGGCTTTCGGACTGGAAAATTTCAGTGAAAACACTCAGTTCAGCCAAGCTTTTCTGCCCAATGTCCACTGCCCTTTTCTGCATTTAGGGATCTGTGTCAGAGACACATCCTCCCTCCTCAGTTACCTGTGTGTTCCAGAGACTTCATGGGTGGGCTGGGCATGGTTGGGCAAGTCTGAAATTCCAGTAATCGGGAAGCTGAATCAGGAGGATTGCTGCAAGGTTGAAGCCTGGACCACGTATCAAGACCCTGTCTCAAAGAAAAAAACCAGTTTATCAGTCAGTGCTTCCTAGAGACACAGATCTTTTTGTTTTATTTTTTATGTCTTTGAGACAGGGCCTCACTATGCAGTTCAGGCTGGCCTTGAACTCACTTTGTAGCCCAGGCTGGTCTTCAACTCGCAAAGATCCTCCTGCCTCAGCCCCCTGAGTGCTGGGATAACAGGCATGAGCCACCATGCCTGGCTAAAGACACAGATTTAATGCAAGACAGATAGATATATAAGATTTTATAAGATTGACTTACAAAGGCTGCCCAGAATCTTGCGTGGATCAGTGGAAAGGTCCGTCTGTATGCTGGAGATCGGAAGGATCCGGGAGACGGCCTGGGGCTTAGCGCAGAGCCTCGCAGAAGTCAGTATCAGGAGGTAAAGTGTCTGCCCTGAAAGCCAGGAGGGGACTGGAGCTCCTGTGAAGAAGCAGGAGCTGCCCTATCATTCAGGAGCCAGTCCTCCCTAGGGTGGATGACAACCCACCCTAGGGTGGGGCTTCCACACCCAGAACTGTGCTAATCCAATGTAGTTGCCCTCTTCTTTCTCAAGTTGACAGGATCAGCGTGTGAGTGACAGCAACCATTAGGCTTGCCGCCTGAGTGCAATAAAAGGGAAAGGAAGAAGGAAGGCTCCCATCTGTTTCTTTGGAGACACTCCAGTCTTCACCTTTCCCTTAGATGTCATCTCCTGGCTTGCACCACAGACCCTTTAGCCTCCTGATACGGACTCGCATGGGACATTACAGTGAACTCCAGGCCTTCAACTGCATCCTTTCTTTTTGTCTTTTTGAGACAAGGTCTCGCTATACAGTTCAGACTGGCCCTGAGCTCACTTTGTAGCCCAGGTTGGTCTGGAACTCACAACGATGCTCCTGCCTCAGCCTCCTGAGTGCTGGGATTACAGGCATGCACCACCACGCCCAGCTAGGGTGAGATTTAAAAGCTTTCAGCACTGTCTAAGAAACAACCCAGTGTTTTCTGCTCTCACTCAGAGTACTTCTGGCACCGGGTGTGTTGGTGATCTCAAGAGAAGCAATTCCTCAGCAGATGCCAGCTTGTTGTTCTAGAATTCAGTACAGTCTGA